ATTTTATTATGTACCGTATATTCCACCCATCTGACTGAGCTGCCCCAGCCACAACAAACATTTTAAAACTTCCCTATACATTGCTGCCTTCAGATATCTTCTAAAGGTTGTATAGTTACTTATTTTATCGGCTCAGGGGTCTCATAACACCATGCCCTCCAATATTTCTCCAATGAAAATAGGGACGTCCTAAGGAAAAGCGGGACATTCCAGGATCAAATCAGAAACTGGGTCGGCCTCTGTAAATCCAGGACTGTCCCAGGAAAATATGGACACTTGGAGGTTGGGGGGGGGTCTCCTCCAAATCTATAGCAATAATTATTAAGACAACTGTGCATGCAGTTTGCAGCCTTCAGTCCAGCAGGTAAAAGGTAAAGGTACCCCTGCCCGTACGGGCCAGTCGTGACCGACTCTAGGGTTGCGGGCTCATCTCGCTCAAGAGGCAGGGAGCCGGCGCCGTCCGAAGACACTTCCGGGTCACGTGGCCAGTGTGACGAAGCTGCAGCTGGCGAGCCAGCACTAGCACCGCACACAGAAACGCCGTTTACCTTCCCGCTATAAAGCGGTTACCTATTTATCTACTTGCACTTAGGGGTGCTTTCGAACTGCTAGGTGGGCAGGAGCTGGGACCGAACGATGGGAGCTCACCCTGCCGCGGGGATTCGAACCGCCGACCTTACGATCAGCAAGTCCTAGGCACTGAGGTTTTACCCACAGCGCCACCCGCGTCCCAGTCCAGCAGGAGCTGACTGCAAATTATAGAATACCCTGTGCTTTGTTGCAAGGATTACGGGGCAGGGGGGAATCTGTCGCCCTCCAAATGTTGTTGGACACATAGTTCAGTTGGTGGAACACTGGACTCTTAGTCTCAGTCGTGGGTTCAAGTCTTGTGTTGCACAAAAGATTCCTGCATTGCAAGGGGTTGGACTAGATGACGCTCATGGTCCCTCCCTTTGAAAAGACTTTGATTCTATGGTTCCAACTCCCATCAAGCTGAGTTAATTGCCTTAGGCAGATGGCATACATGGGGTCTATGTGGTAAATGGCTCCCCCCACAGCTCTCCTGCTGCTTGATCCCTTTGCTCTGCTGCTGCTGGCCATCATCCGCCAATCTCATGAGGCTTTGACTTGCTCCTGTCTTGCTCTGAGGAAAGCCCAAGGGGTCCTTGATAATTGATTGATTGATTGATTGATTGAATAAATAAATATTACACCGTCCTTCATCCACAGATCTCGGGGCAGTTCACAGCATAAAAATACAAGATAATAACACAAAATATATAATAGAAGCAGAACAGAACAGAACCCTCCATACCACTGTTATAAGAATTCTATGGTCTCAAATACAGAATAAATATTCATAAATGTACAAGGCAAACACATACATAAGTATTTAAACCATGTGTCTGAAATAGTACAGGAGAGCAATCCTGAAGCCATTTTGACTCTCCCAAATTGACCTCAAATATTTCTCTGCAAGGAGGAAGGAAATGGGGAAAGCTTTCCAACTGTCTTTGGACTGTAGGGGCTTACACCTCCCTGTTCAAATACAGTCTGGCAAGTGTCTGTTAAGCTGAGCAAACCTCCTACCCCAGGAAGTGCTCAGAGGTGACAATTGCTGAGCTGGTTGTTGGCCAAGGAAAGCCTGATCCCATCACCAGACTTGCCAAAGGGTCCAGACATGCAAAGGAAGGTCTATTGTACTTTGGGTGGTGGGACTTCAGAGGTGTTTTCCTATGCTAATCTTATACCTGGGTCTTGCCCTGACATGTCTGCTTATGCTAATCTTGTACCAAGGACTTGTCTGGACATGTTTGCCAAGGTTAAACTAGTGTAACCCCTGTCTACCCCTCCCCTTTTGTGACATGTCAATGATGTATCAATGATGCTGTACGAACTGTATTCTGGGATATGGTGGGAAAGTTTTAAAAGTCCTTGTCACCCCATCCTCGGGGTTCAAAATTCCTCTTTGAACCTGTTGCGCAATAAACTTTGGTCTACAGCTATTTGCTCCGGTTGGTGGCTGGACTCCTTCCTTTATTCCACAGGGAACCGCGGGCTCTGCCCGACCAGCTGGGTGACTGAGCAGCCTCGCACCTAGATTTTTCCGTAACACACGATTCTTTGATGTTTGTGTGTGTGTGTGTGTGTGTGTGTGTGCATTTAAACAGAATTTCCCAGCTGCTTTGCTCTGAGGACCTCTCTTGCCCTTTCTGTACAAAGGGGGAAGGAGGTGGGGAGAATTGCCAGCACTTGGGCTGATGGGAATTGTAGTGCAAGCCACCTGGAGGGCACCAGGTTGCCAAAGGCAGTGTTATAACTTTATGACATAGATACATAGCGGTGTGTTGAGGATTAAGCGGAAAGACAGCTGCAGTTCTTGACTTTTTGAATGCTGGAGATAAAGCATATCCTACAACCTGGATTTACCAGAAATAAAACTTAGTAGCCAGGCAGTTGCACAACAGGTCTCTTTATAACTGAGCAGTCGTCAAAGCTGCCTGTAACTTTCCACAAAATTTGGCCACGGGGCTGAAATTTTCCACACTTGGGAGAGGCGACTTTTTCCATGCTCAGCGTTTTCATTTGAGGGAAAGAGAGCAAGGAGGGTGCTTCTAGAGGCATGTTTATTGCACTCTTGTGGATGCAAGATTTTTGCAGCTTCTACATGATGTTGGCAGCATCAGTAATACGCCAGTCCACAAATCCCTCCCCTCCACAACTTAATCTGGATTTCCCTTTTCCAGGGAATAGCTGAAAAGTAAAAAACAACCACCATCGTCACACCAACCCGTTGCCAATTATTTGCAAATATATATTTTTAAATGGAATTTCAATCCCAACAGACAGGTTCCAGAAAAAAGGAAAGGAAAGAAGGCTTAAGCATAATAAAGTGTTGCAATTGCCAAGGAAATATGGAATACAGACCTAAGACGTACTGAGGAATACTGTAAAACATATCCAGAATGAAAGGATGTGTGTTTTGTGGTTACAGAGGGTCTCATGGTTTAAATTGGTGATTCCCAGCTTCATTCAATCATTGAACTGTAGTTGCAAGGGACTACAAGGGTCCATCTAGTCCAATACCCTGTACTCCAGGAATCTTTTGCCTCACCTTTTACTCTGCCTTAATGGAAGGTCTGGGACGCGGATGGCGCTGTGGGTTAAACCACAGAGCCTAGGACTTGCCGATCAGAAGGTCGGTGGTTCGAATCCCGAGACTGAGTGAGCTCTCTGCTCCTGCCAACCTAGCAGTTCCAAAGCACGTCAAAGTGCAAGTAGATAAATAGGTACCGCTCCGGCGGGAAGGTAAACGGCGTTTCCTTTTTTTTTTTAATTACTATTTATTAAAGTTTCAGAAAGAATAAAATCACATTAATAAACACAAAAATTTTAACAAAAACAAAGAAAAATACCCCATACAAAATACAAAGTACAGAATAGAAGAAAGTAAAAAAGGAAAAAAAGGAAGAAGAAAAAAGAGAAAACAGTTAAAAATAGTTCCGTCCTTTCATAACCTCTTTTAAATTTACTTGTTTCCCGGACTTCCTCATACCTCCCTCTTTTGTATTCCAATTCAGTTTGTAAACCCAGCAATTTCTTACCCTCCTTTTTAATTCCAATTCTAAATCTTGATATATTATCCCAATAGATTTTTACCTATTTGAACCTATTTTTCCATTTCACTTAGTCTTTTTGGTCCTAATCCTTAATCTTGATACATTTATAACTTTAAAATCTGTTCAGCTAGAAGCCACTTAACTTCAATCCAACATCACTCTAACATGTAAATAGTCTTTAAATTTCTTCCAATCTTCTTCCACTGACTCTTTTCCCTGGTCACGGATTCTGCCAGTCATTTCCGCCAATTCCATATAGTCCATGGTAAACGGCGTTTCCGTGCGCTGCTCTGCTTCGCCAGAAGCGGCTCAGTCATGCAGGCAAAATGACCTGGAAGCTGTACGCTGGGCTCCCTCGGCCAATAAAGCACCATAACCCCAGAGTCGGTCACAACTGGACCTAATGGTCAGGGATCCCTTTACCTTTACCTAATGGATGGTCCGTAGCTTAGTGCCAGAGCACCTATCTTGCATGCAGAAGGTCCCATGTTCACTCCCCAGCATCTCCAGGCAGGGCTGTCCCTCACCTGAATCCCTGGAGAGCCATTGCTGCCGGTCAGTGCAAACAGTACTGAGCTAGGTGGACCAATGGTTTGGTTCGATAGGTTCCTATTGAAAACCAGCTCTCTTTTTTACAGGACCATGAGGACTAGAATCTTACTTTTAAGGAAAGGACTATAGCTTAGTGGTGGGGGCATCTGCTTTGCGCACAGGCTGGGTATGTCTCTGAAAACCAGTGCTGGATTTACGTATAAGCTAAAGCTTAGGGCCCCACTCTCTTGGGGGCCCCCCAAAAATTTAAAGGGAAAAAAACTGGATGTACTTTCCCAAAATATAAGATAAAAAACAAATAAATTAAAACCTACATACAGCAACAGTGTTTTGTGTTGTGTAGGCTCCTATTTGTTATGTGCAAATGGCTTTAGATACCTATTAGGTCCATAAATTACCATATAGCATATATTCAACACAAAAAACAGTGACAATTTGTTGTTGACAAAGGACAGCTGGACATATAAAGGGCCCCATTACCTTAGGGCCTCATCAAACCTAAATCCGGCCCTGCTGAAAACCCTGGAAAGCCATTGGTGTGTCAGTACTAAAGGATTCCCGCTGGGCCAACCCAGCCAGATGATATAAGTAATAAAATTATTATTATTATTTATTAGTGGGTCAGGGTCCGACTCGACATAAGGCAGCTTCCTGCGTTTTCAGACGGGCTACCTTAACCCCGACAGCTCTCCTTCTCCCAGCGGTGCCCATGGCCGCCGGCAGCCAAGGGGCGGAAAGGAGGCGGCGGTGGGTGGATCCCGGGGCCGGCGAGCCTCCACCCCGTGGGCCGGGCCAGGCCTGGCCGAGGAGGCGGCGCCGCGGCCCCGGCTTCGCCTATAGCCGAGCGCCGGGGTTGCGATCCGGCCTTGCTTGGTGCGCCGCTGCCGCTGCCGAGACACGCGCTTCGGGCCGCCGACGCGATGGACCTGCGGATCCTGGAGCCCCGCGTGCGGGTGCTGAGTCTGGCTCGCAGCGGCCTCTGGCTCTACACGCACCCGCTGCTCAAGATGCTGCTGCTGCCCCAGCGAAGCAGGTGCCCCACCGGGACGGGGTGGCTCGGGTTCCGAGCGGCGTGTATGCGTGTCGTCGTGCGTACACACACACGCGTGTACACCAAGGGGTTGAAGGAAGGAGGACGGAAAGGGGATGCGAGAGTCTCGAGAGGAGAAGGCTTCATTGAGCGAAGGTTGCCGAGACCCATTTTAGAAGCCCGCGCACGTGTAAACTGAGGTTGTGGGAAGCTGGGCCGAGGAGGCGTGTTGAGTGTTGTGGACCGTCCGCAGGGTGAAGCCCTTTGGGGAAGGGGCAGAATTGGTCCCTGTTAGGTGCGCTCACGTGCCGCAAAGGATTGGGTGCAAGTTGTGGGGATGGATCAAGGTGGTATATTGAACGTGTGGATTGGGGTAAAGGGGGGCGCGTGCACATATGGTCCAAGCGGTTGTTTTGGTGAGCAAATGAGGGTGTGTGTGTGAGAGAGAGAGTTTGAGAGAGAGAGTGAGTTTGAGAGAGAACTGGACTACATTCTTCCTCTCTCTCAATGGATTGGGTTCCTCCGTGCGTGTATATGAGTCTACTAGTAGGTTGTGGGAATGCACAAACACAAGAGTGCATTGTTTTGAGTGCAATGTGCGAAAGCCTCTTTTGTCACTGCAGGATTGGGCCCACCTACCTGAGAGCTGTAGGGAGTGTGTGGAGCATTCTGAGTAAACCTATTTGGGGAGATGCAATCCTGACCCCACTTGGACATAGTAAGGATTGCCTCCAAACTCTTGCTTTGCATGGGATCTTATAAGATAGGCAGGATGCTTTGCTGCAGACTCGGCTCAGGGAATTACTGAAAACACTTCTGTTTCTTTATATGGAGTGAGCCTTGTTTGGGCAGCAAGTATCTTTGCTCAGCATCTTGTAACACAGAACGTGCTACCCTGTTTAAAACCCAGAGGACGAGCAGCTGAAGACCCAACCCTGCCTGAAACAGGGAAGTCTGGTCTCTGTGTGCCTCTTCTCCCAAACTAAGGGTTAAAAACTGGGTGTTGGGTGAGCAAGTGATAATATTCCTGTAGTAACAGCAGACTATTCTTGCTGGTGTTTGAGCCCGTGGGACTCTGCTTCTTTCTCCTGTTTTTCAAAGCAAGCCTCCAAAGTGCAGGCCAAGGTTTTAAATATGTTCTGCTTATTATAAGCACTCCCACACTTTGTGCTTGGAGTCAAATGTGGAAAAAAATGTGGTTTTTTTTAATTAAAGAAAAAAAGAAAAATCCTCCCTTTTCTTAGGATTGAAAATGGACCCCCCCTCTACTTTTTCCTCCTACAGTTGGCTTGCAAAGGCTGGCAAAAACAACCTAACTAACACCCTCCTCTTACCCGCCTTGCAGAGAATAAGCAAACAATTACAACGTGTTATTAGATCAGCCCTTCCAACTGGATCTCACAGTTGGCTGGCAGCCCCTCTCTTTCCAATATATATAAACACACACAGGGGGTTTCTCTCCAATTCCAGAATCTAAACTCATTGGGAGGGGGGACTCTTGCAAGTGTGCAACGCCAGAAGTTGGTCAGCACAGGGAAATATTTCTGGAGTTCCACACTTACAAGAGCCCCCCCCCCCTGCTTTGGGATTCTGGAATTGGAGAGAAAGTCCCTGTGTTTTTGCTGAGTCTTTCAGTTAAAGCAGCTGTTTCCGAAATAGGAGGTACTGCCCCCTATAGGGAGTCACCGGGAGGTGGTGTTTTAAGGCTCCTGTTAAGTGACTTAGAATCAGAATTGTAGGGTTGGAAGGGATCGCAAGGGTCATCTAGCCCAACCCCCCTGCAAGGCAGGAATCTTTTGCCCAGAGATTAAAAGAGTCTCATGCTCTGCTGAGTGATCTATTCCAGATGTTGGGAAACTGGTATCCCTTCGTCAAGCCCATCTATCACATTAAGAGTTTGCCGAGCAGTGAAGTAGTTAACTAAAGATGGTAATCTAAGCCTCTTATCTAAGACTTGCTAAATGATTGTCAGACTCTGGGAAGCTGGTATCGCTGGATCAAGTTTTATCAGTTGTGTTGAATTAATTAAATTTAGTTTAAATCGGATTTTGAATGAATGCATGATTAACTGCTACTGTTTTGGATGTTATTGTGCTGATATCTTCCTTAGTGGGTCATGCAAACCTCTATTCTGAATAATGCATTTTATAGGGTGCTGAATCATCGAGTTGAAAGGCATCATCTAGTCTAATGGAGGAATCTTTTGCCCACCCTAGGGCTCGAACCCATAACCTTGAGATTAAGAGCCTTCTGTTCTACCGATGGAGCTATCCTTCAGGGGCACTGGGAATGAGTTTATGGTGGCTTGAAAAAGTTTGGGAGCCACTGATCTGAAGCAAATAATTTCATTGCTCATGTTCTGGTTTCTTACTCCCGTAGCCCAGTCCAGTCCAAATAGATCACATCAAGATTTAGAGTCCCCAACGCTGCAGAGCGAATGAGGGGGGGCGGTTTGGGGTGTGTGAAGTTAGCCGAGAAATAAAAATTCTTCAGGCACCACCATTGTTAAATTTTTGGTCTCTTGACAATCAAGGGCTGTTGTTGTTGCCTTTTAAAATCCCCCAAGTTCTGTTAAAATCCTCAGGATGGAGTTCTGCCTTGCATAGGATCCCCATGCATTTAAAACTCACCCAACTGCATGGTTTATTTTCAACATGGAATTAGGAGGTTTCTGTAGTGAAATAATCTGAATTTCTTCCCTGCAGAGTTGTGGGGAGTGGTTTTCTCTTCCGCAAAGTACCAATGGATTTAGTTCTACAGCTATCAGAACATTTGTTCGCCATTCATAATATTTTACCTTAATTTCTTAGTATGTTACAATTTTAAGTTCTCGGTTGTCAGGAGTTTCTGTTACATCTCTGAGGTTGCATCAGTGTAAACAGTGGTTTGTTTGTTTTTAAACTTTGTTTTGTTGAAATGCCACATAACTTGTAGCAACCCTCTAGGGTTTCTAAACAAGGGTCTGTCTCCCCTAGCCAGACCTGGAGATGCTGGCGATTGATGCTTCGCTTCTGAGCTAGCATCCCTTCACTATACTGAGTCAGACCCTTTGTCCATCTAGCTGAGTTTTGCCAGCACTGACTGGCAGCAGCTCTCCAAGGTTTCAGATAGGAAGTCTCTTGCCAAGGAGTCCTGTGTCTTCCCAGAGCGATATCTGTATATTTCCAATCCTTTGGAGACTCTCTGCGGTCTTTATTTGTCCATCCCTCTTGGTAGAAGCAGAACTGAACAGTTACAGTTCTATTTGGGTAATTGATGTTGACTCCTAGAAATGTGAAATAGAATAATAGAATCGTATATTGTAGAGTTGGAAGGGACCCCAAGGATCATCTATAGGCTTCCTCAAACTCGGCCCTCCAGATGTTTTTGGCCTACAACTCCCATGATCTCTAGCTAGCAGGACCAGTGGTCAGGGATGATGGGAATTGTAGTCTCAAAAATATCTGGGGGGCCGAGTTTGAGGAAGCCTGATCTAGTCCAACCCCCTGCAATGCAGGAGTCTCAGCTAAAGCATCCATGACAGATGACTATCCAACCTCTGATCAAAAAGTTCCAGGGAAGGAGAAATAGATGGAGGTCATGTTTTTCTCCTCTCAAGCTTTTTGGCGTGAGAATTGCACAAGCGTCTGCTGGAATTAGGGGACGGTGGTGGCGCTGTGGGTTAAACCACAGAGCCTAGGACTTGCCGATCAGAAGGTCGGCGGTTCGAATCCCCGCGACTGTCCCTGCTCCTGCCAACCTAGCAGTTCGAAAGCACGTCATGTGCAAGTAGATAAATAGGGACTGCTCCGGCGGGAAGGTAAACGGTGTTTCCGTGTGCTGCTCTGGTTCGCCAGAAGCGGCTTAGTCATGCTGGCCACATGACCCGGAAGCTGTCTGCGGACAAACACCGGCTCCCTCGGCCTATAGAGCGAGATGAGCGCGCAACCCCAGAGTCGGTCACCTATCTAATCGTCAGGGTTACCTTTACCTGCTGGAATTCTGCAAGGGAGAATGGGAATGAGAGAATGGGAAGAAAACTAGAACAAACACAGCTGTAGCTCAGTGGCAAAGCATCTGCTTTGCTTGTAGAACGTCCCAGCTTCGTTCTCTGGCATCTCCAGGTAGGGCTGGGGGGTGACCTGAAGGAGTGTTTCCACCCCCATAGTTCAGCCCGGACACTGAGGTTCAGCTCTGAGGGCCTTCTGGCGGTTCCCTCACTGTGAGAAGTGAGGTTGCAGGGAACCAGGCAGAGGGCCTTCTCGGTACCTGCCCTGTGGAATGCCCTCCCGTCAGATGTCAAGGAAATAAACAAATTTCTGATTTTAGAAGACATCTGAAGGCAGCCCTGTTTAGGGAAGCTTTTAATAGTGGATGAATTATTGTATTTTAGTATTTTGTTGGGAGCTGCCCAGAGTCCCCAGGTGGCATAATAATAATATGCCTGAAATCCAGGGATAAGCAAACTTTTTCAGCAGTGGGCCCTGTCCCTCAGACCTTGTGGAGGGCTGGACTATATTTTGAAAAAAGAAGAATGAATTCCTATGCCCCACAAATAACCCAGAGATGCATTTTAAATAAAAGCACACATTCTACTCATGTAAAAATACGCTGATTCCCGCATCGTCCGGCCCGCGGGCCTTAGTTTGCCTACCCAAGTACCTGGAGAGACACTGCCAATCATTCCGGACTGTCAACAGTACAGAGCTAGAGGGGTCAGTGGTCTGAATGTAATAGGCAGGTTCCTGAGTTGATTTTGCCTCCCATTAGCCAGCCATTAGTTGCACGTAGCAACTGGCACTTGTGCTAGGGTTGGAAATGAATTGGAAGCAGATGCATGTGGAGTAATATATATACAGTGGTATCTCAGGTTAAGTACTTAATTTGTTCCGGAGGTCCGTTCTTAACTTGAAACTGTTCTTAACCTGAAGCACCACTAGTTAATGGGGCCTCCCGCTGCCGCCGCGCCGCTGGAGCACGATTTCTGTTCTTATCCTGAAGCAAAGTTCTTAACCTGAAGCACTATTTCTGGGTTAGCGGAGAGTGTAACCTGAAGCGTATGTAACCTGAAGGGTATGTAACCCGAGGTACCACTGTATGTAGCGTGCATATATATATATATATATATATATATATATATATATACACACACACACACAAACGAAAAAAACAAAACTCCTGCCTGCCACACTTTGGGCTACTTGAAATTTCTGGGTGCTTTTTTCAAAGGCTAGCAAACATTCATGCAGTTGGCTAAAAATTAAAAAAATGCAATGCTGATTTTTCTTCTTCTTCTGTCTTCCCAGGTGCAAATTCTTCAGCTTGACAGAGACTCCTGAAGACTATACAATCATGCTGGATGAAGAAGGCTTTAAAGGTACCAATGTCTGTCCTTGACTCCCAGCGTGGCATTGTTGCCGTTTCCGACAGCTGTTGATTCAGTTTAATTTAGGGTGCGCTGCACGGGATTACTTCCATGTAGCTGCGTGAAACCCTCAAGGGGGACGTTATGGTGAAGGAAGAGCTTATACCTGCCGATAAAGGAATACTTGGAGCTTAAGTTGTTCCTTTTTCAGCCTCAGGGCCACATTCCTTTCTGGGTGATATTCCGGGGGCCACATGTCAGTGGTGGGCAGGGCCAGAGGGAAAAATGGGTGGGAGCAATGGATGTAAGTGATGCCTTTGTAGGGTAGGCTAGTATCTACACTCTTCCCACACCCCTCTCTCCTACATCTGGCTGGAGGTGCGGGTTTAAGAAAAGATTATTGCTAGGCAATCATGGAGGGTGTAAAGCAAGGTGGGGGAGGAGGCGGGGCCTGGGGAGAGGAGGCGGGGCCTGGGGAGAGGAGGCGGGGCCTGGGGAGAGGAGGTGGGGCCTGGGGAGAGTCCCTAATGCCAGATAGAGAGGAGTGAATGATTCCCCATCCCTGACTTTATGCAATTTTCTGGGTTTAATTTTTGTTGCTTACCAAAAAAAGAGAGCCTTTTCTCTGATGCTGAAATGGCCCATCACAAGGTTATTATGCCTTTTGGGTCTTAACTGGCACCTTGGTTGGAGTCTACACTTAAGAGCATTCATACGCCACTTAACTTTTCTTAATTAAAAAAAATCTCTTCGCATATGATCTAAGAAAGCCGGACAATATATCCTTAAAACAAAAATGCGTTGTAAAACCAGTCCTATAAAAACACTAGTAATAGAAAGAGAAATGGAAATTCTGAGGATTCAGACGCATGAATCTGAACCCAACCTTATGGGTCAGGGAACGCCTGGACAAAAAGCAACGTGGGAAAAGGATTTAGGCCCTGCCACTGAGCCTTCGCTGGATAGGAGCAAAAGTTCATCTAGTCCAGGAAGCCCTGAGAAAAGGATGTTTTTTAATGGGGGTTGGCAGGCAACATCCTTTGCATGCAGACAGACCCTGGTTAAATTTCTGGCATCTCCAGTCTTTTTTTTTATTTAAAGAAAAAAATATTTCCTTAGTATGAGATGCTGCTGGTTAGAGCAGGTGATACTGGCCTGGAGGGACTTAACACACTGATATTGTAAGGCAAGCAGCTTCCTATGTGCTGTTGATCAATTTTGCCAGGTGACCCCGCCCTGGACTTAATTTTGAGCATTATCAAGAGATTGAGAGAGAGAGAGAGAGAGAGAGAGGAAAAAGAAAATCCCCTTGCTGTTCTCTGCTTTTTCCAAGTATAGGAGGGAACAGATGGAGAGCAGATGTTGGTATTGTGCGTCTGTTTTATTTACCCCATGGGGAAGAGGGAGCAGGGCCACAGGAAGGGAGATAGGAAGCCGCCCCGGTCACTGCTGACAACAGCAGCTTTTGTATAACTGCTTCCTGGATGCACTCCAGAATGGCTTTGGCAGGACATTTTTCAGAGCGGATGGAAGGCGTGGCCTTCCCAAGCTGTGATTTCTTTTGGTGTTGTTCCCATGGAAAAGCAACACACACACACATCCATTGGAGTGATGCATAAATGTGGCTACCTGGCTGCTTGTGTGAGAGAAGCTGGAAGGGGCCAGGCAGGTGAAGTCTTGGTTTTTACTCAGCCAAGGGATGGTTTGGGGTTTCCCCCCCATTTTATTTATCTCAGTGTGGTGTAGAGCCAGTGTGGTGTAGTGGTTAAGAGCGGTAGTCTCGTAATCTGGGGAACCGAGTTCGCGTCTCCGCTCCTCCACATGCAGCTGCTGGGTGACCTTGGGCCAGTCACACTTCTCTGAAGTCTCTCAGCCCCACTCACCTCACAGAGTGTTTGTTGTGGGGGAGGAAGGGAAAGGAGACTGTTAGCCGCTTTGAGACTCCTTAAAGGGAGTGAAAGGCAGGATTTCAAATCCAAACTCTTCTTCTTCTACATATACCGCACTGCTTGATTGTAAAACAAACAAGCAGACCTCGGAAGAACTTGCAGAAAGAAGGAAACAATAAAATTACCAGTAAAAAAGAAGATATTTTAAACATTTTTTTCCAGAAAAATAGATCAAAGCACCCAACATTCTGTGTGCCGTCCATGTCCTGATAGGCATGCATAAACAAAAATATTTTAAGCAGGCGCCAGAAAGAGTGCAGTGAAGATGCCTGCCTGGTGTCAAGTGGCAGGGAGTTCCAAAGTATGTGTGCTGCAGTACTGTATGATGTATAGGCAACCTGGAAAGGCCATGGGGAGGGGAGGGGGTTCCTTTTCTGGAATCTCCAGTGTTTAGCCTTTTCTCCAGGCAGTGACCGGGATTTACATAACCTTTGCTAACTTGCTTCCAAGATGTTTGCTTTCATTCACACCAGATTCTCTTAAAAGGGCCATTCTGACCTCCCGCCCCCTTGGAAGTTGAGAGCAGCTGATTTGCCAGTGCTTTTTTTTCCTCTAGAAGTCTAGAGATGCAGCTTTATTCTTTGGATAAAAAGCTCTGGTGCTTTCTTGGTTGATGTTTTTTTTTGGTTGTTTTTTTTTGAGAAGTCCTTGCTCTCCTTCCCAGGATTTCTACAGCCTGGTTGGTTGGCCATTGTTCTTCTGAACGACTCCATCCTGTTTCCTTGGAACAGAAGCCCCCAAAAGGCCCATTCAAAAGTAACCCTTTGCCTTCCGCTGGGAAGGGTAGGCAGCGCCGGCAAATGACGCAACAGCTTTGCTTCCCACCTGCATCGCTCCCTCTCTCCATATATAAATGTAGATATGTGGTTGTGCTTTGACACCCAAGCCAGATGCCGTTTGTGCATTTCCCATGGCACGAGAGGGGGAGCAGGAACGTCTTTGACACCCTTGGCCCCACCCCTATCATGTGTTGCGTCTAAATATCTGCAACGGAGGGCAAGTTAGAATCTTAAGATTCTGAGTTAGAACCTTGGGTTAAGTAAGGTTCTCATTTAGAACATTGCATAGTGCAGGGTTCTAAACTGGAATGCTCTTCCAATAAAGATTCAGCAAGTATCTTCTATATCATCATTATCATGATTATCAATATTATTATGATTATCATTATTATTACTATTACTAAATTTATTACCCACTCTTCACCAGCACGCCCTATGGTGAGTTACAGCAATTTCAAACTTAAAATTAAGAACAGTTAAAACAGGTTACAGCCACAGGAATAGGGTGAAAACACACACCTCCGCTTTTAACACCTGAGAAGGTCTGTAGGGAAGGAAGCCATCTCTTGGATATTTGTAAGTGTTAGAACCTTGGGTTAAAGTTCTGACTTAGAACCTTGAACAGTGCAGGGTTCTAAATTGTGGGGTGCTCTTCCGATAGAGATTCAGCGGGCGTCTTCTATGTTAAACCTCTTAATGTTTGCCTCTGAAGGCAGCTTGCTGGAAGGTGGGGGCGGGGGAGTGCTCTTGTGCCTGGTTCCTGCTTGCGGGTTTGCCATTGAGAGAAGAGGATGCTGAACTTGATGGGCCAGTGGTCTAGTCCAGCATCCTCTCCTGTTCTTCCTCCTTGTGTCTTTTGGTCTGGTCGAGCAAAGGCGGTTCATATCTTCTGAATTAACCTCTGGAGTAGCTGAATCAACAAGAATCCTTGTTGGCCGAGAACACCATGTACTTGCTTCCCTCCTTGACTGGGGACTGTTCCAAGCCCCTTTTTGGCTCTGCTTCATTCTGGGGAGAGAAAGAGAGAGAGAGCGCTAAAATCTCTGGTTTGTCTTAGGTGGGAACGGGCTTGCCAAAGGCATCAGAGCCCATTGGCAGGAAATTGGGCTTGGAGTCTTGCAGTAAACTGCTGCTCCTGATTCCAAAACCTCATTGGAACTCAAAATTCTGTGAAGTTCCCTGGATCGTTTAAAAATAAGAGACAAGTTTTTTTTTAAAAAACCAACAACTTCCGTGTAAAAACTGCAGCACCATTTTGTTTATTTAATTAAAAGTCCTTCTAAACAGCTTAATATTTTTTAAACATTCCTAAGTGCTACAGACTGTGCAATACAAAAATATGCTCATTTTGGGGTCACCACCCTGTAATATTCAGTAGGGTGCATTGCTGCGAGTAGAATTTCCCAGATCTACGTAACCTTGCAGGTCTGTGCAAGGGGATAAACTTGGTTGTTTGGACAAAATAAAAAAAATCCTTCCAGTAGCACCTTAGAGACCAACTAAGTTTGTTATTGGTATGAGCTTTCGTGTGCATGCACACTTCTTCAGAAACCACGAAGAAGATGGTTGTTTGGGTAATCTTTTATGTAGCTACTAGGGGCTACTGCCCCATTTGTTCTGCTTGCCAGCCCTGCCTACCTGCCAACCCCTTTGCCAGCCCCCCTTCCTTAAACCTTACCCACTTCCTTCACTGTCTTTTCACAGCTTGACCAAAGCCCCACCCCCTTTTAAAGCCCAACCCACTGCTCACTAAACCTCTGTGAAGTGCTTGCCCCCCTCCATTAAACAACTCACTTGGGCCACCAGCACTGCTCACTTGCTTGCTTACCTGCCTGCTGTCCTGTTGTGACGACAGCCTTACGTTCTTATGTATATAGGAAGATAAAGAGATTTAGTTCAGGTTTTGACCTGCGTAGACAGCTGTGTGTAACATTTGTAATTTTATCTGACGAACATAAGTTGTACTTCATCAGTAGCATTCTATTTTTTTGGAGGGGGGAGCACGAAAACAAATATTGGATCTCCCCCCACCCTTGTCTTCCAGAGCTGCCCCCGTCTGAGTTCCTGCAAGTCGTCGATTCCACCTGGCTGGTGCTCAATGTCTCATCCAACGGCAGCGCTTCCGCTAACCTCCAGCCTATTGGGGTCACCAAGATCGCCAAGTCGGTCATCGCGCCACTGGCAGAGCACAACGTCTCGGTGCTAATGCTCTCCACCTATCAGACAGACTTCATCCTGGTGAGTCTTTGGGGGGGGTGGCTTCCCCCCCATCCCCAGGGGAGACAGTTGACAATTGTAAAGGGAGGAGGCCACCTGAGGAAGGGCTGACACTTACTGGTTGAGCCCTTTGTTTTCCCAAAGGCCCGAACTTCAACCCCCAACATCTCTAGATACAATTGGGACTGTGTGCACATGATACATTTAACCATAGCTGTCAACTTACAGATTTGAAAATAAGGGACCAGCAGCCTCGAAAATAAGGGATCAGCAGCCAAAATAAGGCTTAGCTTATACAGAAATCCGGAACTGATGGAGCCATGCTGCTTTGGCTGCCACTGACTGTGTTTTGCAGGGGGTTGGACTAGATGATCCTAAGGGTCTACAACTCCGACCAAAGAAGAGTGGCAGACAAAACTGATGAACGACGTCCAGATGGCAAAGCTTACAGGCAGAATTAGAAACCAGGAAGAGGACCTCTTTAATAAAGAATGGGGAAAGTTTATAATTTATTTGAAAAGCTATTGCCAAGAGTTACATACATTGGTAGGATTGACAGAAAACTTGTAGTAAAAATTTGAACTATGGATGGACAAATGATTTATAAAAATAGTTATGAAAGGGATGCAAAGGGGGAAATCGCTACATTAAGATGCTGCACTGGTTGGAGGGTATGCAAAGCAGCACGCCGGGGCTGCTGTCCTGTCGCGAGGAGTTCCATCGGCCCTTCCGCCAGCGAGCCTGGCATGAGGTGTTTGCGGCGCCGTGGCAGCCGCTGAAGCGCCGCCCTTCTGCGTCCCTCCCCATCCTCTCCTCTTCCTCCTCCCTCAGGCCGCCTCCTCAGCCGCCGCCACCGCCGCTGCCTCCAGCTTCCCCTGGCAGTGCGGCGGAAGTCTCGCAAGAGAGGGGCTGCCTGCCCGGCCACTGCCACCCATCTCCTCACGATGCACCCCTGAGGGGGAAAAGGGAGACATGGAGACGCAGCTTACGCGCACGCTCTCTCTCACGGCGGAGGACCCCGAGCCGCTGCTTCCCTCCCGAGCTGGGCGAGCATGAAACCCGGGAAATTTAAGGGACATCAGCAATAAGGGACAGCAGCAGGACACAGCGCTGGGATAAGGGAGTTTCCCGCCAAATAAGGGACGGTTGACAGCTATGCATTTAATGTGCTGTGATACTACTTTAAACCATCATGGCTTCTGTCAGAGAATTCTGGGAGAGGTGTTTTGTTGAAAGTGCTGAGAGTTTTGTTAGGAGGCCTCACATAGCTACAATTCCCAGAGCTCCTTGAGAAGAGGGATTGATTATTATTATACCACTTGGAGGATTGTTGGGGTCTCCTAATGACTCTCAGCACCCTAAACAAACCACAGCTCCCAGAATTCTTCGGGGGAAGCCATGATTGTTCAAAGTGGCGCCATAGTGGTTTAAATGTTTGGTGTGAATGTGGCCGAGGGAAAAAAAGACCGTTTTCTTGAGTCATAGGACAGTGGTGGAGAATTGGTTTCAAGCTGAGGGCCGCATTCTGTTCTGGGCAACCTTTTGGGGGCCACATTCAGTTCTGGGCAGTGCCCGAGGTGAAAGTGGGCAGAGCAATGAATGTAAATTTTACCTTTGGACAGTAGGCTAGTTTCTGCACACACTCCCACCGTCCTTCTCTATCCTCCACTTGGACAAGCAAGAGGCATGACCAGAGTCTAAGGACACATTCCAGCCAGGCAGAACCACTCAAGGAGGGCACGAAGCAAAGTCAGTGTGGGGTGTGGCCGAATGCCAGAAAGACAGACTTAGAAGGCCACACTTAGCATCTAGGCCCGAGGTTCCTAACTCTTGTCCTAGGCTGTTTATCTTATGCATAATAAAAGGAGATTCTCCTAAGCGCATCAGATGAGTTTTGGCAAGAGCCAGAATTCGAACTGAAGTCGAACAGACTTTCAGCCTCTTGGGCCACCGCCAGTGGAGGCTAGTCAATTAGGGTTAATGGGGCAGTGCCCCACCAACCTCAGCCTGCCTTTGAAGGGGGGAGACCCTGCCTCTCAGTTTCCTCCTCCTCCTCCTCTGTGTTCCCCTTGTAGAACTCAGCCAGGAAGAAGAGGATGGGGGACAAATGCTCAAATTGGTTGGCTCTGCTTGCCACTGGCGCCACCTACTGTTGGCCTCCCTGCCTTCCGCTCTACCCATCCCAAAAGGCACCAGCCGCCGCTGTGCACCGGCGACGACCTTGGCTCTCTCTTCCAGGTACGGGAGAAGGACCTCCCTGTCGTGATCCACACCCTGGAAGGCGAATTTGATATTTACAAGGAGGTGAACGGGGAGCCGGTCCCCGCAAGCTGCGACGACGCAACCAACGGGTTCCTCAAGCCAAAGCAAGGTGAGGTTTTTTGGAACGAGAGAGGGCTGCAATGGAAACAGCCTCTGTAACCTTATGGCCTCCTTTTGGAGGCTTTGTAATTGGATTCCTTGTCTCCACCGCCACCCAGTTTTATCAAAAATATGTCAGGCCAGTCCGATGGGGACAAAGTTCATCCATTGTGTTGATGCTCTAAGGAGAAGAAAGTATCTTTTTGTTTTGCTTAGACAATAGTGGGGTTTGTGCTTTAACCTTGCAAACAGCAGCCTTGCAAACAAAGCTGTGGGAGATGTTGGCTGATTTAAAATATATATATTTTTAGTCGCCACTCTCTTAGTAGCATAACCAAGAAACATTTAAAAAAACTGTGGTTCCCAACCCCCCCTTTTTTTGGCCATGCCCCACCTAAGCATCTCTAAAATCCTGATGTCCCACCCCCCCCCGGGTGACATATACCATATTTTTCCATGTATAACACGCCCCTGTGTATAAAACAGCCCATTCTTTTTGGGGACTCCAAATTGAGAAAATGGGGAGAGATTGCCCAGAGTATAAGATGACCCCCAATTTTTAGCAGAATTTTAAAATAAAAAAACCTAGTCTTCTACACGGAAAAATACAGTAATTCTTATTATTCAAAAAGTGAACTCCTATTCACGTGGAGGAAGCCTAAAGGGCCATTAACTTGGTCTAAACAAACTTTCCAAAGAACATGGTATCCATGAAAGAGAAAAATAAAAGAACAAAAGGACAGATGAAGTACTGAGGAAGAAATCACTAAGAAATTGTTGTAGTAATAATAATAATAATAATAATGTAATATGAAGTGATATGAAAAAATAGCAAATAAAGTTTCAAAACGTATAATAGAAAACTGAAATGCATAAATATAAAATAATTTTAATGGAAGCTTTTCCTGTAATCCTTTGATCATTTTAATTACTAAAATAAAAGGTACCTAACAAATTCAATTTTGGGACGCGGGTGGCGCTGTGGGTAAAACCTCTGTGCCTAGGACTTGCCGATCGTATGGTCGGCGGTTCGAATCCCCGCGGCGGGGTGAGCTCCTGTCTTTCGGTCCCAGCTCCTGCCCACCTAGCAGTTCGAAAGCACTTTTAAGTGCAAGTAGATAAATAGGTACCGCTTTATAGCGGGAAGGTAAATGGCGTTTCCGTGTGCTGCGCTGGTCTGGCTCGCCAGAGCAGCTTCGTCACGCTGGCCACGTGACCCAGAAGTGTCTTTGGACAGCGCTGGCCCCTGGCCTCTTAAGTGAGATGGGCGCACAACCCTAGAGTCGGGACACGACTGGCCCGTACGGGCAGGGGTGCCTTTACCTTTACCTTTAACAAATTCAAAATACAATTTGAGCTCAAGATAAGTAGACTTAAAGTTAGTGAGATCCTTGTGCTTCATGCCAGCTCCAGACAGATTTTAAACTAGGCACCAATTTAGTCCACTTCAGTCTCAAGTCTCCTCATTTAGTGATATCCAGTCAATTAATTTTCTTCTCAAATTGCCCCCCTGTGGGGCGTGTGCCCCACATTGAGAACCATAGATTTAAAACATAAAAAACTATAAAGGTAAAATTGAGCAGGCAGTTAAAAGAATCCAGTAACCAAACTATATGGATCTGAGCAGCGCTTGAAATTTTGACACTTGAGATGTGGATGAATAGTGGGTATTAAATTATAACAACAACAACAACAACAAAATTCAACTTTGTTGGATGTCTCCAAATTCTAGTGCAATGAGAGAGGGAGAAAATAAAGATGGCTGTTAGCCAAATGGGCTGTTGCTGCAGGTGTTGTGCAAATTCAGCCCTGCTCCTCTGCTTGGAAAATCTCCTGGCATTGCCATGGCATTCCCTTGCCTGGTCCAAGCCAATCCCTTGGGAATTCTGGCTGTTTCCGTGTCGGGTGTCTTAACACTTTTGTCTCTTGTCCTTAGACGTGAACCCCACTGTCCACCCTGTGCAGAGCCCCCAAAACAGGTTCTGTATTTTGAGCATCTCTCCGGACTCCTTGCCCGCCATCGCCACAATCCTCATTGATGTCCTGTTCTACTCACACAGGTAAGAGCACAGCAGAGGTGTAGCGGACACCAACCATGTTCTGCTTTCTGTGCAAAGATCAAAACTTCTTTGGGGGGCTTCTGGTTCTGCTCTGCCTTAGTGGAAGCAGGCTCCATGACAGCGGGGAGTTCATTGGCGAAGGATAAACAAGGATGTTTGAGGGTAATCATCCTTGCAAATTCTCCACAAGGACGGGGGGAGTGGGCTTCACTCGCAGTTCGTCTCTGTACCTAGCTCTCGGTCTGGCATGGAATGTGGGGGGCAGGAAGGCGCTAAGTGTAAAAGCCCTTCGCCTGCCGAAAATCAACGCCGCCATTAAGCAGAGGTTTTCCTGTTAGAACTTAATTGGGCTAAAGTACAGGCGTGTGCTAGAAGAGATGAGATCACAAACTGCGGAACAAACCAATTGCAAGGACTTTAAGGTTTGAATTTGAGATAAGACTTCATTCGGTGCAAAAGACGGCGGGGTGGGGAGCCTACGGTTTCTTTATTTAAAGTTTTCTTCTTTCCCTCCTCTGAATGTTAGTTCAAATTATATTTATACAAATGAGGATGGAAGAAATTGGATTATAAATATGGAATATAAATAATCCATCAAACGGAACGGTGTGTATAAAAAAAGGAGGGAAGCTCTATTTTGCAAAAGGTTTACGGTTGAAACCAAGAGCTGACTCTTCTCCATCCTTTATTATTTACGGAGTGAACTGAATAATGCTAAGAGGACTCGGAATTTAATTTAATTGGAAGTATAATTGCTCATATATCTTCAGCTGGAAGGAAAGATGAAAGGAGTGTGTGAACTGCCGAGAAACTGATAGGGTTCTTTATTGAGTCATCTGCAGTTCGACAGACCTCTCTTCTTCCCAAGCTGAGCGGGAAAATTGTGACAACAGTTTGTTTACTGGGACAGCGTGACTTTTGCAGTTGCTGTTAAAGTTCTCGGTGCAAAATAACGAAGCATGGGATGGAACGATTGAGAAATTTCTGGAAGCACAATGGGATATCAGCTCTGCCCAAGGCATGGTGGATAACAGCAAAAATTGGGGGAAAGAAAGCCATAATATCTTACAAGGACAGGAAGAAACACCTTGGACAGAATAATTGCCCCACACAGGAAGAACAAGGATATAGTTTGAGTTCCTCATTTGCAGTCTTATAAATCCATTCAATTGTCAACACGAATAGAAGTTATTAATATTGCAGTTGTTGAATAAGGGATCATTATTATGACCGGAATGTAACTGAAACTAATAAGATTTTGGAACGCAGAAATAAATAAAATCATCAAACCATCAATTTAGCACCCAAGGGGCCCCACTTTAACTAAATTATATAATTTGGTATTTGAATTATTGGTATTAATAATTGTAATATAAATTGGTATTGTTATAATGAAGCTATTATTGGAGTGTAATTGAAAATTAATAGACATTTATGATTACCCCGCCCCCTCTGTTTTTTAAAAAGCTGGTCAGTTAGTGCTACTCAGTCCTTTATTTTGGCAACTCATGTGTTTTCCCCTCACCCCAATTTTCAGCCCCACAAAAGAAGCTGCTTCAGCCAGCCAGGACCTCGACTCCATTACTTTCTTTGCCTTTTCGCTGATCGAGGGGTACATCTCCATCGTCATGGATGCTGAGACCAAGAAGAAGTAAGTGCCGTCAGGTAGACAGCTTTGCTGCAGGTAGCAGGAAAACTTTTATTAAATTAAATGTTTTCTGAGAGTACGGCTGCATTCACACGGCGGTTTATTCCATGTCCCTAACATTTCCCTGACTCTTAATTTCCCCATCACGTTTGAGCTTTTGCATGACTCGGAAGCCACTTCTGGGAAACGTAGCAGAACATTATGGAAATTTCGCACTCATTTTCGTATTAATTGCTTCGAGGAAGTGGGGAACCCTGTTTGCAGCCCCGCTAAATCAGAAACTTGCAAGAGGAAAGTGACAAAATTTGGAGCAGTAAACCAGCGTGCAAGTTCTTCCTTGATGTTTCCATGGAGGAACAAAAACAGGCATATGGCGAATCGGCAACATTGAATGACATTTGTTGTTGTGCCTTACCAGGCCCTCTGGTGTAAATGTGTGGGATGTAATCCACTGGGAGCAGTCAAATACAACATTCTTTGTTTTCCTAGAGTGGACATGCAAGGGAATGTTTGTCCCAGCCAGTCGAAACTTCCTGTTCCTCCTGGCCTGGAGCATCCTTCCTTGCATGCGACTAGTGGGTGGGCGTGACCTTCCCAGACCTGGTAAAAGGACAAGGCATCCTGCCACTCTCTCTCTCTTTTCAATTTTCCTTTCGTCCTGCGAACTTCCTGGAATGAACTGCTGGCTGCCAACCAAGCAGCCCCCCAGCTCATCTCCCTTATGCGATAAACCTGTTAGTATAAGTTTGTAACTTTAAAGCCTAAAGCCTGTCTTCAGAGATCACACTGTGCTCTGCCTGATCATGAGCAAACTTTCTTTTTATTGCTTATGAATAAGACTCTGGTGTCTTTATTCTTTTAGGAGGGATTCCAGGGGCCTTATCAGGAAAATATTAGAACACATTTCATTCTGGGCAAGCCAGATTGAATTTCGTATTGTCTTAAGAAACTCACACGAGTTCGCAACTAGTTTTCTGTTGTGTAAATGGGAATGTAAACTCTGCTAAGTGAAGGAACTTGCTAGCGAAAGTTAGGAATGATATAATTAATATTAATAATATTAATAAACAATATATCTTCTCCTGCCACCCTGAACATTCCCACAAAATGAAATTTAGCACAGCATGCCAGTATATCAGTCAAAAGTTCCAGTGTTCTGAGAGAGGGAAAAAATATCTTCTGTGTCTGCTCTTGCCTTGCCATGCATCTTTTAATAAAAAGGTCTATCATGTTGCCTCTTACTTGACTTTTGTCTAAAGCTAAAAGTCCCAAACTTTGCAACCTTTTCTCATAGAGAGGCACTGCATCATTCCCTTGATCATTTGTGTTGCCCTTTTTTGAACCTTTTACAAATGCTGCAATATCCTTTTTGAGGGGACCAGAACGGCATACACAGTATATTCCAAGAATGATCACCAGCTTTGTCTTTCACAAATGATGGCAATGTGCAGTGCCAGTCAAAGCATCTCCTGGTGGGGGGTGTCTGTCAGGGCAGGAATCCCCTTTCTTGCTTGAAAGCCCGTAGTTTGCCTTAGGAAATTGCCCACTGCTATGTTCCTAGGCAATTGCTGGAATTCATGCGGTGGTTTGGCTGAGATTTCTATTTGTCACGTGGCAGACTTGGGATAAAGGGTCATTTCCATGCAGCACTGTAAAAGCACAGATAATGTACCACAGTTCCCAGGGTTATCTGGTTAAGCCGTGTTTTATTTATATAGGATAATTTTATTGTTTATTTAACATAATTGTTACAAAATGTAAGCAAAATGTTAGAAATACATACATGCATATATATTTCAAATAAGCACATATATATGAAAAAAGGAACAAAAGAGAAAAGAAGAAAAAAGAAGAAAAAATAAAAAAGGGAAAAAAGAAGAAATGTTGGAAGAATTTCTTCCAAGTTTATTCTACAGATATCTCAATATGAAAATAATAATAAAACTTCATTGATTGACTTCCATCGCTTACACTGCACTTCCTATATACATTTTAAGCAAGCTTGTATCTGTTGTTCCATATTTTCCCCATACAATCTCACACAAATATTCTAGTCAATAAGTTTTCTAAATCTCTCATAAATCTATTCTAAACACAACCAATACCTTACATTTAATCCTTGTCTACATAGATAATCCTTTAATCATTTCCATTGTTTCTGGATTATATTTTTTGGTTTTTGTCTAATCAAATCGGTCAAGTTTGCTAATTCCCAAGTATTTGCATAATTTATTCAACCATTCTTCTTTGGTAGGAATATAATTATAAGCCGTGTGTTTTAAATGCGTGGTGTGGATGCGATCGTGCTGGTGTGTTGTTGTGTTCAGGAAAAACTGAGCCGAAGGGCAGAAGGCACAGACCGTCACGTGGGTGTGGGGCTTTAGAAAAGGTGCCTTCTGGCAGTGACTAAATTCTCCTGTCTCCTTCTCCCAGGTTCCCCAGCGACCTCCTGCTGACCAGCTCCTCAGGGGAGCTCTGGAGGATGGTGAGGATTGGTGGCCAGCCCCTGGGCTTTGGTAAGTGTCTGCATCCTCACATTCTGAGCGCTGCTTTTCCTTGTGGGTGGCGTTACTGATAGCCGTAGGGACGGCTGTTGTTTTTAACAGTATAAGATGCTAGCCATAAAGTACAGCCTTGCAAGTGCTCAGTTACCTGATCGCCTGCGGCGAGTTAGAATTTCCTCCAGGCGAGCAGGCAGCGAGATCTTGCAAGAGCCGACTCTTTCTGTTCCCCTTCCCTTTTAAGCCACACTTACCTGTACCAGGCAGGGACGCGGGTGGCGCTGTGGGTTAAACCACAGAGCCTAGGACTTGCCGATCAGAAGGTCGGTGTTTCGAATCCCCACGACAGGGTGAGCTCCCGTTGCTCGGTCCCTGCTCCTGCCAGCCTAGCAGTTCGAAAGCACGTCAAAGTGCAAGTAGATAAATAGGTACTGCTCCGGCGGGAAGGTAAACGTTGTTTCAGTGCGCTGCTCTGGTTTGCCAGAAGCAGCTTAGTCATGTTGGCCACATGACCCAGAAGCTGTATGCCGGCTCCCTCAGCCAATAAAGCGAGATGAGCGCCGCTACCCCAGAGTCGGTCACGACTGGACCTAGTGGTCAGGGGTCCCTTTACCTTTTTACCTGTACCAGGTAAGCGTGGGTTATCTAGTAAAAATGTGTTCCTTGTGCAGCTGGTACAGCCTTAGTGGCGCTATTTTAAGAGCTACCTTACCATGTACCGTGTGCCCATGGTATATATAGTTTGTATATTTTATTGCTCTAAGCTGCTTTGAAACCAACATGGTGAAAAGTGGGATATTATATGTGTGTGTGTGTTTAAATAAATAAAATAAAACATTAAGCCAACGCTGGAAGGTAGGTGTTGGCTGCCATATTATAATCAATGGGGAAGACATCCAAACAGTTCTGGGACTGTAGCTTGTTGAAGGTGCTGAGAGCTGTTTTGAGGGCCCTATTCCCCTCCCAGGGTTACTGTTCCCAGAGTGGTTTAATGGTCAATCTGTCCTCCCAGGGAATTCTGGGAAATTGAATTCTGCGAAACGGGAGGGGAACAGGGCTCTCCTAACAACTCTCAGCGCTCTTAACAAACTGCAACTCCCAGAATCCTTTGGGGGAAGGGGAAACCAGGACTGCTTAATGGTATCATAGCACCTTAGATGTGTGGTGTGCATGCGACCTTTGCTGCCCAGTGCACATGCTTGTGCTCCAGTCAGTGCTTAAGAGAAGGGGAGGGTTTTTCTTACTATTTTTAAAAGGGCACAAGTTTATCACCTGCCTTCTTGCCTCCCCAGATGAATGTGGGATTGTGGCTCAGATTGCCAAGCCTCTCGCCGATGCAGACATCTCTGCGTATTACATTAGCACCTTCAACTTCGACCACGCCCTGGTAAGTCGGTCAGGCTTTCTTCCAAGTTGTGAGCAGCTGCCTACCTATTTTATTTTATTTTATTTTAAATGATCATTTTAATGTTTTATTTAGAGGCCTTGTTTGATTGTCTTTTGAACTAAAGCAGCATAGTCATACCTCAGGTTACAGACGTTTCAGGTTGCCTTTTTTTGGGTTGCGGACTGCCAAAACCCGGAAGTACCAGAACGGGTTACTTCCAGGTTTCGGCAGTCGCGCATGCGCAAAACGTTAAATCCCACTTTGCGCATGCGCAGAAGCGCCAAATCTCAACCTGTGCGTGCGCAGACGCGCCGCTGCAGGTTGCGAACGTGCATCCCACACGGATCATGTTCGCAACCCAAGCGTCCACTGTATAAATTTTGTTAAATGAAAAAATATTCTAAATCCTCTTTGAGCTGTACTGCAGGGAGGAGTTGCTATTTGGTCCGGCTGGTTTGCTACCCTTCCCCATCTCTTCCAGGTTCCAGAGGATGGCATTGATAACGTCACCCAAGTGCTTCAGACACGGCAGGAGAGTGGGAGATAGCCCCTTGGCTCAGTATGTACGCCGATTTCTGCTGCACCTGACACCTGGTGTTCCCTGGAGCAAGGCGGAAGCCGCTGGCCCTGAGTGTGAGCCAAGCTGTCCTTTTTTCACAGTGTTTTCTTGGAAACGTGGAGCAACCGGTGCGTCTCCCTCCAGCTGGAGGAGAGCTCTGTTGTTCCTTTGCTCCCAGGAGGGGAGCCCCAACCTGTGCCTTATCTAGACACTCCCCAGAACCCGGTGAATCAGTTCTGATTGCCTGCGTCAGACTTTAGTATTCTCCAAACCCCGCTCTAGCCTTCCGGCCCTATCGTTTGGTCCTCAGCCTAGCTGTGTATCTGGAGCCAAGGAGGGAGATTCCTGCTCCTGATGGGCTTCTGGAGAATCTCTCTCTCTCTCTCTCTTTTGCACATTACCTGAGCTTTTCCAATAGGAAGACAAGCCTGGAACTTTTTGTTGTTGTTTTCATTGTGGTTGCTAATTTGTTGGAATTGCACAGTTTACTTATGATTGTGATTTTTTATTTTTTTTTGATCCACAGTGCTAAGATTGGGATATAACTGGGGCCATTCCTTGTTGAGGTGGTTGGCAAAAAGCACACGTTCACACCACAAGTTTAAAGCTCTAGAATACCGCTTTAAACAGTCCTGGCTTCCTCCAAAGGATTATGGGAACCGTAGTTCATTGAAGAGTTGTTAGGAAGACCCTCTATTTCTCCTCCCAGAGCTGCATTTCCCAGAGATCGTTGGCGAGAGGGATTGACTGTTATCACTCTGGGAATTGTAGCTCTGGAAGAAGAATGTGGGGCGTGTCTCCTCCAATGACCCTTAACAAACTACAACTCCCATAATTCATTGAGAGAAGCTAGGACTGTTTAAAGGGGCACCACAGGGCTTTAACTGTGAATGGTGGGACTATGGCCTAAGTGATTGATCATCGTCGGTGTTTTTTTTAACTTTAACCTTCCGCCAAGTTCCCATTTGTAGGTCACTTGACCAGTGGCTTTTTTAAGAACCACTGATGCACGTCCTGCACCCCCTATGCTTTCTGCTGGGACAGTGCCCCATGTTTTAACAGTATTAAGGCAACGATCATTCCTCCAGATGTTCCCTCCAGATGTTGCCAGGTTGGCTGGAGCTGATGGGAGCTGGCATCTGTCAGCATCTGTGCCCCCCCCCCCCCATGCATTAATAGACAGGATACTTCGTCAGATCTTTGAGCTGGAGGAGGGTGAGGAGAAGGACTTGAGCAACCCCCCCCCCCAATTCCTCTATTTCATGTGGCCTTAAAATCTGAGGGTGCCTTATTGTGCTTTATCATGAAGCATTTATATACTTTTTACAAAATAATGATGTATGAAGTTAGTCCCATTCCTCTCCCTCCTCCTTCCTTTGGGCTACGGGCGAAGGAGCTCATGCCGGTACCCTGAGAAATTTATCGCCCTCCACCGTGTGTTTGATTTCTTTTTATTTTGGGGAGGAGGGGACAGACAGACAGAGGAGCAGCTGGGCCAGCAGCCCAGTCAAAGGGGCACCCAGTGCCAGGACCAGAAGAAGGTGGGGTAAGCTGGAAAGTGGGTTGGTGGTGGTGGTGGTGGTGGGGATCCTGTTTTTGGTTGCCCCACCCCCCCTACAGAAGCTGCTCCGAACAAGTTAAAACTGGTGCCCGTAGCTCTCTCCAGCTTATTCTGATGTGTATGCCGATCCAGCTTGGAGAGCTTGATTTGGGGTTTGGGTATTGTTTGTTTTGAAAACAACCAACGCCAAACCAGCTGAAGAACTCCATGCTGGAGAAGGGGGTAGTCGAGATCATGCAGACCTTTGGAGCTGTTCCAGATGGCAGGTGCTTTGTAAGGAGGGTAGTGCCAAACCTGAGTTGCTGGGGTTCATCTCAAGGAAAAAGGCACCCTCATTCTGTTCTTGTTTGGGGTGAGAGCCCTTTTGTTTCCCCAAAGAGAGCCAGCCAGGTGAAAGACATTGAGGGTCCTTGCCTGCTGAAATGAACCCGCTAGGGAACCAGAGCGAGCTGAAGAATGCTGCCTCCCTTTCTGCTTTGGGGTTTTTTTGGGGGGGGGGGGTGTTGTTGTGCTGGGCCTCGGGCAATCAGAAGTGCTTAGATGTGAGCCTTTGGCAAGTTCTCGACCTTTCCTGGGTGCTAACTTTTTGAATCAGCTTTGAATGTAGTTTTCCTGGTTGTGATGGATCAGCCTTGCATCACTGGAACTTTTTCATTTGCAAGCTAGCCTAAAGGGAACCTATTCTGTTTGTGTTTCTCTTTAATATATATAAATATAAATAAAGCAGGTTGCCAGTACAGTCGAACCTCTACTTACCACCGCCTCTTCTTACGGTTGTTCCATGTTGCGACCGCGTCAAACCCGGAAGTAACCGGTGGGTTTGCAACCATTCGCGCATGCGCAGGAGCAGCGATCGCCGTTCACACATGCGCAGAAGCAGGCGATCACTGCCTACTCCTGTGCACAATGGCGCCTCTCCCAGCGACCCGTTTTGACCTCCAGATGGACCTCCAGAATGGATTATGGTCGCAAATAGAGGTTCTACTGTATCTGGGCCTGCTAACCAAGTGAAGTGCAACCCCTTTAGTTTGGGTAAGGTCTCACAGCTATGTCTGGTTTCAGACTTATTTCAGGAAGAGCTTTAGGAAAAGGTGTGGCTGTCTGTCATTTGCACAACTGGGTTTCTACGGTTGCCAATTAGCTAGAGCTGACTGGGCATTCTTAGTCTCTGCCCAAGAGCTGCACAATGTGTTTCCTTTATGCTTTCCCCCTTTGTGGCCACCTTTTTGCTCATCCCTAGTCCTCTCACCTGGCGCACAGGTGAAGGGGAAGTAGCACAGCTGCCAAGTGACACTGTCTGTGCTTTCTCTAGGCCATGGTGAAGGGCTAGGTCTCAGCAGGCAGCCACAAAGGAGTGGTGGGAGCTGGGTAAGTCGAGGGTAGGTTTGATCAGGGCTGGAGTCCTTGCCCTCTGGGTGGGCTGGCCCAAGCTCTGTGTGCCTGCCCTCCAGAGGAATGGTGTTGCCCTCATCTCTCTCCACACCACAGAGCCTGAAATCGACCCTCCCAGTCCTGGATTCCTTTTGTGCCAGTTTATATGGAGAATGAAGCTTTTTGCAGACACTAAACCCAGCCTGAGAACTCCTGCGCAGCCACCCAGCACCGTTGGAAGACCTCTGGCAGAACGCAAGGGAACAGAGACCAGTGATGGCATCCTTGAAATTTTTTTTCAGTATTTTAATACAGGGCTGAGAATAGGTGTGCTCAGATAAGGAGATCGCCTCCTATGTAGATCTCAAGAAAGCGAAGGGCTCTCATAAGGGGGTAACTCACAGCTACTGACATTCCTCATTTTGGCTGCTAGTTGCGGATTCCTGGCTCAGTTCTAAGACGAATTACCCGGCGAAACTTCTTTTCAACACTACACCAATGAAAGCCAGTTTGCGTGCCACGAGAATGCAAAGTCCTTTACATTATTTGTGTGTGTTTGTGCGTGTGCGCATAGTTTTACATTTTGTCAATAAAGGTCATTTATTTCTTGCAAATAATGCTTGTGGCAGGTGATTGTGTCTAATCAAGGGAAGCGGGCGGGGGGGGGCACCACAGAAATTTTCCCCTGCCGGATTTTTAACATTGTCACAAATTGCTGAGCCGAGTGTTCGGCTACACCCATGGCTATAGGTAAAAAGGTAAAGGACCCCTTGATGGTTAAGTCTAGTCAAATGCAACTGTGGGGTTGCGGCGCTCATCTCACTTTCAGGCCGAGGGAGCCGGCGTTTGTCCACAGACAGCTTTCCGGGTCATGTGGCCAGCATGACTAAACCGCTTCTGCCACAACATAACACCATGACGGAAGCCAGAGCACACAGAAACGTTGTTTACCTTCCCGCTACAGCGGTACCTATTTATCTACTTGCACTGGTGTGCTTTCAAACTGCTAGGTTGGCAGGAGCTGGGTCAGAGCAATGGGAGCTCACCCCGGTTGCACGGGATTTGAACTGCTGATCAGAAGGTCAGCAAGCCCAAGAGGCTCTGTGGTTTTGACTACAGCACCACCCGTGTCCCTCTGAGTGTTATCAGCTGAGTGTTCTGCCTCCAGAGCTGGATGTAGTAATTAACGTCTACTGCAATTATTAAGTTTGCAGATGACACCACCATAATGGGTTTAATAACAGGTGGAGATGAATCAGCATATAGAGGGGAGGTCCAAAAAATATCTACATGGTGCCTAGGGAACAACTTGCACCTTAATATCAGCAAGACAAAGGAGATGGTGTTGGACTTTCGGAGGAAGAGAGAACTAGCCCCACTGTACATCGGGGAGGGCTGTGTGGAGAGAGTCTCTTCCTTCAAATTCCTAGGAGTTTATCTCAGTGCTGACCTTACTTGGAAAATCAATACAACCCAGGTGGTTAAGAAAGCCCAACAGAGACTCCACCTCCTCAGAGTATTGCGGAAGAACGATGTCAATCAACATCTGATGATCTCCTTCTACCGGTCAACAATAGAAAGTGTTCTTTCATACAGCATCACTGTGTGGTACGCTGGTTTGACATCAACTGATAGGAAGTGCCTACAGAGGGTGGTGAATACAGCACAAGATATTATGGGCTGTCCCGTGAATCTGCTGGATGAAATAGCGGAAGAACGTTGCCTCAGGAGAGTGAGGAAAATTCTCAGGGATGATTCACACCCTGGCTGGCACTTTCTTGATCTCTTGCCCTCGGGCAGAAGATATAGAAGCACGATTAGTCACACCAACAGGGTAAAGAACAGCTTCTATCCGTGGGCTGTTAGGCTGCTGAATGAAAAGATAACAACAGGGCAACTGACTTTCGGGTTTGGTGGGTGTGCGTCAGTAAACAAGGGGAATTAAGAGAGCTGAGTGGGGGGTGCTCGTGGAATCTCACTGTATACAAGTTGTACAAGTGACAATAAAGTATTTCAGTTTCAATTCTGAATGCCACTTGCTGGATATCGCAGGACGCGAGAGCAATCTTGTGCTCGGATCCTGCCTGCCAGTTTTCCACAGGCATCTGGTTGGCCGCTGTGAGGACAGGATGCTGGACTAGATGGGCCAGGGACCTGATCCAGCACAGACTGTTCTTACGTTGTATAGATTATCACAGCCACCCCATGTGGGATTTATCATAGCAAAAAGTCGGAATGACAGCCGCCAATGACAGCCTTGGAAAACAGAAGCCTGAAAATTGAGACGCCAGTCCTGTTAAGCAGCTACCGGCAAGGAAGACAGGTGGTGAAAAACTGGGTATTAAAAGAACAGCAACACCCGGACTTGACTTTCCTGTCAGCAGAGGAATTTCTTTTACAGCTTTTCTTGCAGGACGGCTTCTCCCTGGCAGGGAACAGGGCCTGTGGGAGCTCTGCAGGAGCTGTTTATGTGGTAACGCTGTCGAGACACGGGCAATAAATTTTACATTCACAGCCCAGAATGTAAATCTATCTGCAGGATGGAAGAGCCGACTGAAAAATCGACATGACGCGTAAAAGACACGAGCCAAAATGTTGATACTTCCCTGAAGAAAGAGGGTGGTATTTTCCAGAATATTCTCTGGAAATAATAATAATAATAAAAATCAGTGTTAGAAGGGACCACAAGGATAATCTAATCCAACACACTGCAGTGCAGGGATATTTTGCCCAACTTTTCACAGTCGGAATTTGGGGTGGGGGGAGTGAGGCTTATATTCAGGCCAATATGGTAATAATGCAACAGAATCCAAAACAGTAATACTAATACTAATACTAATAGTAATAGTAATACTAATACTAATATATTTCTACCCCGCCCATCTGGCTGAGTTTCCCCAGCCGCTCTGGGCAGCTCCCAATCGAATATTAAAAACAATACAGCATTAAATATTAAAAACTTCCCTAAACAGGGAATTGCACATTTGTTCAAAATACAGTTGAAACGATTTGGTTTATAATTAATTCAGCAAAATGGATGGAGCTGATTTGATGATACCAGCTTTTCAAGGTTTTTTAGTCATTTACCCCTCTGGCCCTGTTGCCTCTCTTTGCCGCTTGGTGCCCCTACTGCATTAGATGCTTTTAAAGTGCCGGGTCCCAAACTTCATCCCTGCTTTCTCTTCATCTCATAATTTATTTCATAAACTGCATGATTGTAAAACCACCACCTCAAAGCATTTTTGGTAGATTCGTTTCCTCAGAAGCTGCTGTACAATTTCTCCTACCTTTGGAGAATATTTTCTAAAATTATGCACCTGGTTTTGCTGCTTGAAAATAGGGGGGAGAAGTTTGAGAGGCTTTTGGGTTGTTGTTTTTCCTTCTGCTTCCAGAGTTAAAGTAGTTGGCTAATGTGAAAATGACAGGGTTGGTCAACAGAGGGAGCCAGACTCTTGCTTTTTGAGGGAATTGGGCTGTTTCTCCTTTTTATGCACTGGGGAAAACACAGCTAATGTTAAGTCCAATCAGGGAGAACTGTGGGTTATGAATGAATGATGAATGAATGAATGAATGAATGAATGTTGCTTTGATAGTTTTCCAGTAGAACAGTCTCCCACAAGAAATGGTGGACTCCTTCCTTGGAGGTTTTCAAACAGAGGTTGGAGAGCCAGATAGGATTGCCATATCTTGAAGAGCGGAAAAGAGGACAGCCTGAGCTGCTGCCAGCCTGTGCCAGGAAAGAGGTGTGTGGGGCTGCTGCTGCCATGCTTGCATGCCTTTTTCCCCAGCTCAGGCTGGCAGCAGCCATGGCATGCAGAGCAGCCCACACCCGAGCCCAAGTCAAAAAACACATCCCTCCCTCCATCCATCCCCCCCAAAATCCCAGACATTTCCTTTAAAATGTAAAACTCCCACCAGAGGGGCATGCTGGCCCCCACAAAAGAGGACATATCTTTTGCTCTTTGGGCAACAACAAGTTGGGATTTGGGCTGCTGTTACTTTGATGTGTAAAAGACATTTTTGGGGGTATTAATTTTCTCGTTGATTTATGTGTTCCATTTTTCAGTCACTTTCCATGAGGCATCAGGAAGCAATTTACAATATCATTACTTATATAAAACAGAAATATACACACTTAAAACAATTGCACTGGAATTACCATATGTTTAGCTGTCTTAAGGGTTTCATTATTTGTGTGTTTGCTGCCCTGGGCTCCTTTGGAGGTAGGGTGGGATATAAACTTGATTAACAAAATAAAACAAAATATTAAATAATAATGTAATATAATAACTCATAAATGTAAAAACCCATTCCTAAAATCCAAGTCAAACACCAACCGAGATAAAAGATTATGGAAGGCTTCTCGAAAGAGGAGTGACTTTTAAAAAATATTTATGTGCATTAGATTTTAATTGGGATGTTTAATTTGATTTTAATGTTAGGCGCCTTTCACAGTTTTCTCATACTGTGAAAGGCAGGATAGGGATGCATTTGTACGAAACTAACATGAGATAACTTTCCACCAGAGGCTAGACTGGTATCTATTATGCCTCTGAATACCAGTTCCTGGTAACTGCAGGAGGGTGGGAGATGGCTGCTGAGTTCAGGTCCTGCTCCTGGGCTCCCCAGGAAGAGGCATTTTGTTGGCCACTGTGTGAACAGGAATGTCAGACGAGATGGGCCCTTGATGCAGAAAATCTCTGAAATCTAGTTGGATGACTAATTCAGGGACGTGAACAGACCTGCCCCTTGCTGATGAAAAAGAGCAGGCCTTTTTTTGTGCTTTCCCTTCTAACGAAACAGGAGACTTAAGTAAAACTACACGAATCTGCAGCGTTCCAGCAAGGACGGATGTCCTTGGCAGATGATTCCCTGGGCCAATGGAGGAACAGGCGAATGACGTCACTTGGCGTGTTATTGGGCTGGCCGTCACTCGTACGATGCTTCCAACGGCCCTTGCCCTGAGGTCCTCGCTCGACTCTGCCTCTGCCCTCCGTGACTGGAAAGTGACAGGATGTGACTACATACTGGGATAATCCCTGGTAACCTGGAAGGAGGCTCCACCCGGAGCTACCAGATCTCAGAAGCTGCTCCACATCACTGCCTCCACTGTATGGCCGTGAATCACGCAGGAATTCCTCAGGTCCCTGCAGGCTGAAGTCACGCGGCACATTATCCCTTCGGATGCTATTCCACTCATGCAATGGAGTTGCAGGGTGCATTTCGAACAAAGGGGACGCGAGGCATGCACAACCACACTCCTCAGCAAGCTGTTCTTTATTCTGAGAATCAGCTCCTGCAAGGGGGACCTGCTGCAACAAAATGTTGCACCGTCTGCCTTTGTCCCCGCAGGATACAGCCCTGTTTTTTTTAACTGGGTTTCATTTTTTAAAAAATGAATGTGGTAGTTTGCATTGTTTTCGGTTTCTATTCCAATATTTAGAATCCTCCCCCCACCTTCAAAATTAGGAAATATTCCAGGAAAAATAAATATGCTTTATCTGTGTACCCAGAGCAATCCCGAAGCCATCTTGACTCTCTTAATGACCTCAGATATTTCCTCTGCAGTAGAAGTATCTCGGAAAAACCTTTCCCAATAGTTCCTTTTCGCTTTCAG